GGGGAGGGGCCATCCACAACTTCTCTGGGCAACCTGTTCCAGTGCCTCATCACCCTCAAACAAATCTATCGCTCGCATCATCTTCTCGTTAAACGCAAACTACAGAGAGCCGACATATCGGCTCTAAAAAGCGTGGGGCGCCCGATCAGCCTGCTCCCGGCAGCGCTGCCCACCCCGGCCGCTGGCACGCGCGGCCGTGCCTCTGCAGCCGCGCTCGCTGAACGTGCGCAAAAAGCATCGCGGCGGCCGCCTTTTGGGGTGCGGTGCCGGCGCGATGCGGGTGCTGTCGCAAAGCCCTCCCCGGGCGGGCAGGGACCGGGTACACGCCGGGGGCCGCCCCCCGCCCGGGCAGGAGGATCCGCAGCGGCCCGGCTCCGTCGGGCAGGGCTTGCTACCATCTAGTGGCCACGGGCGACAAAACCGCGGGGACTGGAGGCTACGTCCGAGTGCCCCCACTCGGGACTGGAGGCTCGAGGAGGTGGCCAACACGCATCCCTCACGTTTCGGAGGCGGGGGACCCCAGGACTGAGGCGTCCCAGTGCCAGCAACGCCACAGGGCTGCCACTGCGGGTGGGTGGCAGACGGCAGAACTTTCGTACGAGGCTCATTTTCGGTGCGGGGCACAGAGACGGTCTGTTTTCCTCAAGGCCCTGGGCTGGCTGCGGTGGCTTTGTCCCCCAGCCTTGCGGCAGGGGCGCGGGGCGGCGGGAAAGCTGGTGCGCGGAGGGTGCCGCTCCTTCTGCCCGAGCTCGAGCGCTGGGGTGGTGGGATCAGGGCAGAGGAAGACCTCCCAAGGGACAGCAGCAGAGCCACCGCTGAACCTCAGGATACTGCTGAGGAGGAAAGCTGTCCTAGGGGCTGCATGGGGCTGATTTCTACACAAAAATGTCACCAAAAGGTGCTTAGGAAAGGTCCCCCATCTAATGGCACAGAAGGCAGGGGAAGAGCCATTTCTCCCAAAATGGTGGATGCAATCTCACCTCTGCATGGCCCCTCCTTCAATGGACGGCAGCATTTTGTACAACTGTTAATGAATTTAGATGGTGCCACAGCCCCACAAGCGGAAAAGCCACTTGTTTTCCCCGTTTAAGAGAGAACAAAGAACTTCTACGTCTTGCTCGAGCCACAGACGGTACCAGTGAAAGAGCAAGGAGGGGCTCTTGGGTATGGTTTCAGAAACACCAGCTGTTTGGTGGTTATTAATATGGGGCACAGCCGCCCAGGCAGAGCTGGGAGGCACAGTAGGAATCGCACACCAGCCACAGGGAAGGACCAGCTCCAAGTGTTTTTGGCCACATTCAATTTTTTTCTTAGAGTATCGCCATTGTGAGAGAGAAATCCATCCCTGCCTGGCCTGTAAAGCGAACATCAGAGCACCCAGCAGTCCCCCACATTGCCTTGGCAGTTAATATAATAAATCTCCAATGATTTCTAGCCCTGCCTTCTCTGCAGCCAGACCTGCTGCAGGCAGGGAAACGTGTGCCCTAGAGAGAAGCACTAGCAGAAATCATAGACATTATTTTCATTTAAACTAAGTTTGTGAAAAACTTTGCAGCGAGGAGGAGAGGAGGCTCCCAAAGCCAGTCCATCTTCCTCCAAAAACAACCCAAACAGTCCTGTGGGCTTACACAGCAATCAGACTTTTTGACCGAATACTTTTTTTTTCTTCTCAATGAGCCTTCTGCCCCACAATACAATTAAAGAACCCCTGAGAGCAGCTGAGGGTCCTGCAGGTGGGAGCGGCAGCCCCAGCTCTGCCATGACCCTGGGCTGTATAAAGCGTGGCATGACGTAAGCGTGTTACGCGCTGCTCTGCCAGGGGAGCAGTCAGAGGGAGGCCGGCGCTCCGAAAAAGCCAGGAATATTATATAACTCCAACTTACATAATTACCTATTGCATAATGCCAGGGAAAAGCCCCTCCCGTAATGCTGCTGTGGTTTCTATGGCATTTTGCTGATACACAGCTCCTTCTAACTGATTCATTTGCACTTTGTTTTAGGAGCCTGCAGCTCAGTCCGTGCGGATAGACAGGTGAGACCCTGTGCTCCCACCAGTGTTAGCTGGAGAGGTAAGGGCAATAGTAACAGGATCTTATAGCCATAGCAAGGCAAGAGCATTGGGTTTTCTGCAGCTGTGCTGTTGATTTCAGTATTCAGAGGATCAGAAGACTGTCAGATAAGAGCACCGTAAAGCTGCACCCATTGCAAGCCTCCACCGCTTGTAGGAAACAAGCTGGGGTCTAACTGGTGGTGGCAGGGCCAAATCCCTTCCCAACTCACCCCTCTTCCCCTTGCTCTTAAACACTATTCTTAGCAGTGCCTCCAGGCAGAGCTCCCGTACGCTGACAGATTTCAGCAGCTGAGAGGTGACCCGAGCCACTTGCTTAAAAGCAAAAGGAAGGATTAAGAGGAGGAGATTTCAGCATCAGGACAAGATTTGGGCTGTGGGTTTGCAGAGCTGCGCTATGTACTTATCAGTATGGCAGTATGGACTCTTTCGGAGGTCGTGCCCTGTACTGTGAAGTCAGAAGTAGCTTGACCTTCGCGTCAATGCTCACAGGATCCAGCCTTTGGTGACTATCAGACAGGCAACTGTATGACTGAGTCGTTTTCTTTCTCCCGAAGGTGCACAGGATAACACAGGCATGACCTACAGCTCCTGCGCAATTCATC